ATATGTATATGTATGTGTGTGTGTGTGTGTATATATATATATATATATATATATATATATATATATATATATATAAATATATATATATATATAAATATTTACATTTATGGCAGACTTACAGTGCCACTGAATTGCTGTTTCCCAGCTGTGACAGCTCTGGAATCACTGTTGCCACTCTTATCTGCTGCCTCTGCCATCTTTTCCACCTCTTCTAGCCCTGCATCTACTCTTTTTGGCCATTGACCTCATCTGCCAAAACGTTCCAACTTCTAGCAAAAAACTTAATTTTCCTCCTGCAGATGCTGGTGGGAGGGAGAGGAGGAGAAGCTGACTTTTGTTAGTTGCAGGAGGAAACTGGAGAGGATTGGTTCGGATATATGCTTCCGCCCCCTCCTGTCCAAGTGTAAAACAGAATGTGACAGGGAGGCCACATGGGCCCCCTGGAGCATGGGGTGGGTCACCATTGCGACTCCGATGCTACTCCAGTAGTTGGGGGGGATGTAGTATAAACACATCTCAACTATGAGGTTTTAACCCCCCAAGGCTACAAATGTAAACAAGCTCTTACTGTTCTAAACCCCTATAAGGCTGCTTTCATGCTGATGCACTGTGGTTTACACACACTCTAGGTTCAGTGCACCTGCGTTTTTTTTCTGCGGGTTAGTTGCGCTTTGCCATAAACTTCTATTTATCTTGCGGGTGTGGTGCACTTTCTGAAAGGGCACCAAAACCGACTGCCACATCAGAGGGCTCAGATGGCCACAGGTTGAGCACCCCTAGGCTAGAACATTGAGTGGATTTGCACTGCTGTAACTCCACTATGGAGTTTGCCTCACTTTTTATTACTGACACTAGACCAAGAAATGGGGGGAACATAGGTCATTGGGACAGGAAGGCTAAAACAACAATAAAATCCTCATAGATGAGCTTCCCCTTTCCTTATGAACCAGAAGTGCTTTGTTACTGCTTACATCCTTATTTGAGAGATTTCCTACTGCTTCCTGTCATCTTGTAAGTAGACCATAGAATGGGGAGATATCTCCCCAATAGCTGATAATTTTTTGCATTTTGAAAATGGTAATCGGCTGCTTTACTGACCCTCCGGCTTCAAAAATTTTATTCAATAACCCAGAACATTTGTACAGATGTGGACTTCTGGTGAGCTGCATACTTATTCTGGGTCAATGACATAGAAAGTGATGACGCCAGGGAGTCATCAAACCAGTCAGGCAATACAGATTTTCAGAAGGTTAGGAAAGATATGTCTTATTAGAGACGTGTACAATAAGATCTGATCATAATTTAGGAGCCATTCATGCAAAAATCTGATCATATTTTAGGAGCCATTCATGCAGAAATCCACTTGTTTCCTAAAGATATATCTGAGCAATTCACATCTGTTAAACATTATACCTTTTGAAACGTTGGAAACCATTTAATTTGCTATATGTATATTGTCAGCTCCCTCTCCCCTTCTAACACCTATTCTGACTAAGCTGTTTAGGAAAGATCTGTAGACTTGCCTATTTTCCAGCCACTCTGGTCCGGTCACTGGATCTCTCCTGTATCAGTCAGTAGAGGCTGCAGGGGAGAGTAGAAGGCGCTCAACAACAGGCTGGTTTGCCTGGATTGGTGACATCATCCATATGCTCCTATGAATCATCCTTTTTTAGATCTCCCTCCTCTCCCCTGCAACTACTACTGGCTGACTGAGGGGAGCTGGACCACATAACCGGACCAGAGTGGGCTGATAATAGGTAAGTATTATACGTCCCTTTTTTTTTTTTTTTTTTTTTTTTTTTTTTTTACACAGGTTAGTTAGCAAGGGTGTTAGGAGGGGAGGGAGCATTTTTTAAGATGTTAGATTGTGCCAGGAATGCTCCTTTGTCTGAAAAAAAATTTTGTCAAAATCATTGCTGCTTTTCCAAGCTTAATTGTACCACACAAGCTTGTATTTTACTTTTACTTTTTATTTGCTCAACAAACGGAAAGCGGAGCTCCACCCAAAAGGGGAAGTTCCACTTTTACGTCTGGTCTCCCGATCTCCATTAAGGATTGGCACCTTTGAGGAGCGGGTACCTGAAATTGACAGGCACCTGCTCCCACTTCCACTGTGATCACCTAGGCCAGTGGTCGGCAAGCCGCGGCTCGCGAGCCACATGCGGCTCTTTACCCAGTCTAATGCGGCTCTTCTGTGTGCCGGGCGCCTGCTCCCCTCCCTCCTCTCGGTCGGCCGCTCCCCTGCCTCCTCTCGGTTGGCAGCCCCAAAAGTCCGCGCGGACCTTTTAATCCGGCTTGCGGATGTGGCTGTCAGGATGTGTGTAGGCGGGGCAGCGTGCCGAACGTGAGGGGAGGGGAGCTAGGCTCCTCTCACAGTCCGCCCTGAAGACCCGAACGGCGCGGGAAGACAGCGAGAGGAACGCAAAAGGTAAGTGAATTGACACGGGGGACTTGGCTTACTAGAAGGGGGGGGGGGGGGGGAATAGTACTGTGGGGGATGAAATACTATATGAGGGATGAATTACTTTATGAGGGATGAAATACTATATGGGGGGATGAAATACTATATGGGGGATGAATTACTATATCAGGGATGAATTACTATATGAGGGATGAAATACTATATGGGGGGATGAAATACTATATGGGGGGATGAAATACTATATGGGGGGATGAATTACTATATGAGGGATGAAATACTATATGGGGGGATGAAATACTATATGAGGGATGAAATACTATATGGGGGATGAATTACTATATGAGGGATGAATTACTGTATGAGGGATGAAATACTATATGGGGGGATGAAATACTATATGAGGGATGAAATACTATATGAGGGGATGAAATACTATATGGGGGGATGAAATACTATATGGGGGATGAAATACTATATGAGGGATGAAATACTATATGAGGGATGAAAATACTATATGAGGGATGAATTACTATATGAGGGATGAAATACTATATGGGGGGATGAAATACTATATGGGGGGATGAAATACTATATGGGGGGATGAAATACTATATGAGGGATGAATTACTATATGAGGGATGAAATACTATATGGGGGGATGAAATACTATATGGGGGGGATGAAATACTATATGAGGGATGAATTACTATATGGGGGATGAAATACTATATGAGGGATGAAATACTATATGGGGGATGAAATACTATATGGGGGATGAAATACTATACGGGGGATGAAATACTATACGGGGGATGAAATACTATACGAGGGATGAAATACTATACGGGGGATGAATTGCTATGGGGGATGAATTACTATATGGGGGATGAATTACTATGGGGATGAATTACTATATGGAGGATGAATTACTATATGGGGGATGAATTACTATATGGGGGATGAATTACTATGGGGGATGAATTACACTATGGGGGATGAATTACACTATGGGGGATGAATTACTATATGGGGGATGAATTACTATGGGGGATGAATTACTATATGGGAGATGTATTTTCAGTTTTAAAAATGTGGCTCTCAAAATAAATTTCAATCATGGTTTTGGCGAGATTTGGCTCAGTTGAAAAAAAAGGTTGCCCACCACTGACCTAGGCGATCGAAAGCGGAAGTTGTCGTCCCCGTCCCCCCAATTGTCTCCTGGGACACATGACAAGTCACAGCCGGGCTCCCATACTGGAGATGCTGGTGCAGGGAACACTGGATGACTGGTGAAACAAACTGCGGGGAGGATATCGTGGGATCGAGAGACAGATGAGTGGCTGTTTTTTAAAAGTCAGTAGTTTTTGTAGCTGCTGACTTTTATTTTTTTTTTACATTGTGATTGAAACTCCACTTTAAAGGCTAAGTTCACCTTTGCATTACAAAGGTTACATGTTCCACCCATTTTTAAGGTGTGAAACATGTAACTGTTCTTGCAGCCTTATACTTATTCTGGCCATTAAAATGAATTAACGCTGAAGCGCTAAATGCTCCTAGCGTTTAGGCGCATTGAGCCACGTCAAGCTGCTGCTCCTGGTCGCACTGGCCCTGGGTTTTTTTTCCTACTGGTAAAGGCTACTGCCACTGAAAGTCTGTATGCATGGACACATAGGATAACATGGAGGGCCGTTTGGAAGCATAAAAAAGAAAAATCCAAACGCCTGATGCCCCTAAAAGTGGCTGCAAAAATGCCATGTGTGCATGAGGCCTTAATAAAAAATTGAAGAAAAGATAAAACAATCCTGTTTTTCTCTGTACTGTATGCTTTTCCTAACACATGCATTACTGAATTACAAAAGAGAGTTGTGCTGCTTAGGTTAAATGTGAGGGAATTATGAATAAACAAAGTCAAATCTTGCACCTATCCCAGTATTGAACACATACTCAATTTTAAACCTTTGTAAGTAAAGGTCTAGTCTTAGAGGAGACATTGCAAGAAACCAATGTTTACTTCTCTATCACTTTTGTTTCATTTTCACATTGTTTCTGGGTTATGACTTTTCCTACTTCTAAGCCAAGCTGCGTCAAATGCTGTCCATCTGGATATTAAAGCAGTCTCATTGGACAGTGGAATGGCAGTTGACACGTCATAGCTATGATGTCAGAGAATGTCAGGTCCAAATATCATAATTCAAATAAAGTAGAAAAAGGCACATTAAAGGGTTGACTTTAGTAAATAATTTTACTGGAAGCATAAACAATACTCTCATCTAATGATTGGCATATTTCATACAAGGAGCTGCATGTAATTTGAAGTCAGGCTTTCAGCACAGTTCTGGAGAGAGAGTTAATTAGCCAACTAGAGGATACTGCAAGAGGACTTAGTTTCACTTTAGCAGTTGAAGGAAAGAAAAGCTACAGCATGGAAAGGAAAATTTTAATAACATGACTTATTTAAAATTTGATAGTTTTGTGAGAGATTCATATTGCTATAATTGATCTGTTTTTGCATGGTGGTGGTTTTTACAATGTTTCCAGAATCCTACATATGGGTTGTTCTTTGTCATTTTGCATGTAGATGATTTTAAAGGCAGTTTGACAATATCTGACTGGTCAGAAAAGGACAACGCACACACGGACAAAAAACAGGCAGACTTTTTTTTCAGCACTGACTACACTGCTGGCTCTTCAACATCCGTGTTCTCCAAGAAGGAAACATCATTTGGAAGTACTGAAAACCTTACCATGACAACTGTATCAAAAATAACTACCTTCTCCAGTGACATCCATGTTCCAGAGGACAACTCAGCATTTGGTGCAAGCACTAAAGGACATGTTGAAAAAGCAAGTGGCATGTTCTCAGGTGGCCTTGAGGGTATTTCCTCTCTTGCTTTGGGGCACAGTAAAGAAAGTCATGATCTGTCTTCTAGCGTTGCTTCAGAAGTGAAGACTATAGATGATTTTGGTGAATTTCAAAGTGAGAAGCCCAAAATTAGTAAATTTGACTTTCTTTTGGCCAATGCTCAAGGAAAAATGAAATCAAGTGAAGAAATGATTAAGACCGAACTTGAAACATTGGATCTTTGTGCTCAAGGTAAGCCTGCCTCTGTATTTGGGATCTTGGAGCACCCTACTGGAGGTAATCGCATATCTCACATGACACAATATTTGAAGTGTGGTTTGGCCATGTACAAACTTTTTCCTATGTTTACATTTCAGCAACGGAATGCTTTTCACATATACATACAGACATCCATCTGTTTGCTGGTCTGGATGACATTTCTACCTCTTGTAGGGGATTGCTACACCAGGGTCACAGCTAAAAAGATGTAACAGGATGTCACAGCTTACATAGTCCACTTTCATTTGGTCACATTGTCAATTATATTTAAAAATATTAAGGCCCCATGCACACTAGCCTTTTTTTTAAGTTCCTAGAAGCTGTTATTCGCTTTTTTTTCTGCTCCTAGAAGCTAAATAGTGATGTCCTTTGCGTCCATGCACGCTATTTTAGGCTATTAGCATTTTTGAGCTTCAGCTTTTAACCTCCTCCCGTCTGGCCGTTGTATATAAACGGCCGGAAAGTGGCACTGCAGGGTCGGGTGGCCGTTTTATAAACGGCCTCCCCGCACCCTGCTTGTGCGCGCAGCACTGCGATCCGATGCCCGCTGTGTCCTCCGGACACAGTGAAACACCGATCGTCGGATGGGACCTTTGTACGAGATTCCGATCATGTGATCACTGATTGGCCAATCAGTGATCACATGAAGAGTAGTAAGCAAGATGTCACTTCTGACATCATTCCTTACTACGTGTGAAATCTGTGAATGATCACAGAGGTCACATGGTACAAGGCTATTCACAACAGCCTTGTACCATGTGACAAGCTGTGACCAATCACAGCTCACTCAGTAGTTCTCAATGGCTGCAAGAATACAGACAGAGAGAAGGAGAAATGATTGCTTTTACATCCTTTATGGGTGTAAAAGCAATCAGTGTAAAAAAAAAAAAAATCTTCATCACCCCCCACAAGTAGTACAGTGTCACCATGGTGACATTGTACTGCTAGGGTGACAGTATGTAAAAAGTTTGGTTATAAATTTTTTTTTTTTTTTTTTTTTGTTCTTACTAAAAAGATAACGGAATAAATTTTGGCCAAGATTTATGATGAAATATTATTTATTTGCAAAATTTTATAAGAAAAACACTTTTTTTCAAAATTTTGGGACGTTTTCATTTATATAGCAAAAAAAAAAAAAAAAATCCGAGCGGTGAATAAATACCACCAAAATAAAGCTTTTTCTGTCTAAAAAAAAAAAAAATTGTAAAAAAATTCATATGGGTACAGCGTTGCATGACCGTGCAATTGTCATTCAAAGTGTGATAGCGCTGAAAGCTGAAAATTGCCCTGGTCAGGAAGGGGGTAAAAGCGTCTGGACAGGAAGTGGTTAAATTGTTTTTCCAGTAGAAAACAAATGCTAATAAATCGCTCCGATCAGCTTTTTTTTCCCTCCTACGTGTACTGTAAAAATACTAATAAAATGCTAATGCTACTAAAAAACAGTAGTTACCAGTGTTTTTGAGCTTTAAAAAAAAAAAAAAAAAAAAAACTAGTGTGCACGGAGCCTTAGCATGAATTTACAGCAGTAGAGGCAAGGCCAGATAGATTTTCAGTTCTGTACACTGGAGCACACTGAAGATAAACGTCACCACACAATTCGCCATCTGGACCATATGTCATTTAAGTCAAACCACCTTTATATCCAATGAATTGATCTAAAACTCATGCCCACAGAAGGTGAGCGTAGAAGATAGTTCTAGTAAGGCAATGCCAAAAATGATATTACACAGGATTCGCCCTGTAGGAACATTTTAAATTCAGTTTATTGTACATACAGTTTGATCAGATATTTTGTAAAAACTCAACATTTCACGATTGACATAAAATAAGCAGGATGTAAAAATGGTGTGTGTTCCACAGGATCCCATAAGAGAAGCCTTAGCCTTGGGGATAAAGAAATCACTAGAACTCCACCTGCTGCAGAGCCAGCTTTCAGAGACAGGTCTCACACTGTTACCGAGAAGTCTACCTTACCTGTGATTAGAGACAAGTACAAAGATCTCACAGGAGAAGTAGAGGTAAGGTTGTATGTTGACTGATACTGTAAAATTGTATGGATCTTTGGGATTAATACTGCTCTTCACCAGTACTAGTCTGGCAGGCTGTTATATAGGTCTAGAGCAGGGGTAGGCAATCTAGGTGGGTAAGGGTAGGTGGAGATCTACCTAAACAACATGGGAGACCTCAAAGATCACCGGGCACAGTGTTGCTTCCTGACACCTGTTTTAAACCTCTAATTGCTGTACTACCATGTAGCAAGCATTGCACGGCAATCACGGGTTTAAATCCGATGGTGAGGAGGCTCACCATCTGTCGAATACAGGGCTCGTTCACACGTAAAGTTGAGGTGGGGGTGGGAAAACCCTACAGTTGAGTTGCGGTTTTTCTGCCCCAGATCTCTACCCCTTTAGTTGCTGAGGTAGCAGCCAAAGGTGTACACATGCTGCAGCACGAATTAGCACCCACCAAAAGCTTTTGGGGGTGTTTATCGCCTTTCAATCACGACCTACTCAAGTAAATGGGGCCACTCTGCAAGCGCTTTTCAACTGGATCCAAGGGGTTAAAGCAGGTGGTGAGAAAGCAACACAATGCTGCCTCTTTTAACACCTTGTTTGCTGTACTGCACAAGGTTGCAGGGCACTTGTAGAGCGGCCACATTCACTTGAATGGGTCATGCTTGGCAGGTGTAACACCCACCAACCATGACAGGGTGTATAACCCCTGCTGCAGCTACGACATGTGTACAACCCTGGCCACAGCAGCTAAAGGGGGCATCCACTTATGTGGCACTTGCTAACTACTACAGCTACAGCTTTACATGTAGTCTCTCTGCACTGCACTTTGATGCTCTAAAATGGCGGGTAAGATGGCAAAATGTGCTTTTTGATAGAGTGGAGATGGATTAGAACACCTGTCAGGTTCTAACTGCTGTCTGTGCCCCCATTAGTGAGATTCACCCTTTTATTTGTCTGCTTTACCCTGATCAACAAGAGGGAATCTAGCTCTCGTGACAATTAGTAATTCTTTTACTTTGGCCAAATTTCCTCTCAGTTCCTGTTTTGGTTGTGAGGAAAATGTGAAGGATAATCTCACCAATGGGACACAAATGGCAAAAACATTACTGAGGTCAAAATCCTTCTGTACTCTGTTAAAACTTTAAAGCTTGCTTCTAGCATAGAGGGTAACCTAGGTTGACGTGCATTCTCATGTTTTATAGTTGCATGCATTCATCTAGTTTTGTACAAGAGCCTTATTGGGAATGATAATTATAATAATGATTATTGTTCCAAATAGTTACAAATGTTAATTTATATGACAAGGTGATGTAATACAGTAGTAAACGTCAGGTGGAAATCCTAATACATGTATATTTGGCATTTGCCTTTTAATCCTCCATTCTAACGCTGATGACTACCTAATACTTCTGTTACTTTACTTTTAGGAGAGTGAAAGGTATGCATATGAATGGCAGCGTTGTTTGGAAAGTGCGTTGCAGGTAAGGAGAACAGAGTTTATTATGTCTTTTCTATATCTGGGCTGATGCAAAAAAAAAAAAAAAAAGTCTGTAAAAGCACAATATGTTTGAATCTACTAGAAACATTGGATGATGTGTTTTTCATTGCAGTTATTTTTAAAGCCCAAGTGGACATTCATTTTTAATCAGCTAATTACATTTCAGGTGCTTCAAAACAAAATGTGTGCCTATTTCTACAGCTTGTTTATTTTCTAAAGCAGTTACAGCTTGAGTAGATGGGCCTTTCAACTGCTAGCAGCTGCAGAATGTGACTCTTGTTCTCTGTAGGGAAGCAGTGGTCTCTCTTCAAAGGTCTGCCATGCTCCTAGACTTCTAATTCTACAGTCAGTAAAGCTCATGCTCTCTGCAGATTCACGCGCTCTGGATCTGATTCAGCAGGGGGGGGGGTGTCAGACCTCTATAAAGAGACCACTAAGGAAAGCAAGGATCCCATTCTGTAGGATGCTGGCAGGAGACAGACTTTTTTACTCGGGCTGTGGATGCTTTTTAATGAAAAGAAATAGTAAGATTTTGCACACCTTTTTGTTATGATACACTTGTATTAGTTAGCAACTTAAAATGATCAGTTTAATTACACTTTAAAGAACTCCCAGCAAAAATGCTATTTTCCCATGCAGTGGGGCTGTGCCCGCACTGCATGATTTAAATGCTCATTTTATCTAGGGGTCCGGTAAGCAGAGATATACTTACCTAGTCCGCTGATCCTCCAAGCGCAAGACCGGTCCCTGCCACTCCTGCCCAATCCCCCCCATGCACTAGCGGTCCTGTGAATAGGCTGTTCCTGATGTCCTCATGCCCATAGACTGCCTCCGGACGTGAGGACGGCAGAAACAGTCCACCGCTGTACATGCGGGAGCGTGGTTTTTTGGAGGATCAGAGGATGGGGTAAGTATAGCTTTACTCTGAGCCCCTGAACAAAACGAGCAGTTAACCCTTGCAGTGCAGGCATAGTCCCACGTATGGGAAAATAAACATTTTACCTGGAGTTCTGTTTTAAAATTGCCCTGTCACTAAAAAAAGGCATGCTCCCTGTAAAGAAATGTATTGTTTGCCTTGACTGCTGCTGGTACTAGATATCTCTGCTTTGTGTCTGAAGATTCTTCAGAAACTAACACTTCCAAAGGTGTCAGTTATGTTATGTGGTTCTTCCCACTAATTCCTACATCATGACTGTGTTTAGTAACTTGAAGTTGGTGGGAGGAATCACAAGGCATGGCAATGTAAAAGTTTATGCAACTGTGCGCAAAAGTGTAAGGTGGTCCAGCAAAGGCTCCTGAGGGCCATGGTCCACGAAAATCCTTCTTCCATACTCCAGGACACTCATACTAAGTTCTTAAAGGTCTGGGACCCTTGGCTATTCAACAACACCGTACTTTGCGACCACACACTGGCCCTGATAAAACTCCATAAAGTTTATTACAAAATTAAAAGTCCAGAGAGCGCAAATGTTAACGCGTTTCATGCTGATGGGTGCTTAATCATAATATGTTATATACTGTACATTCACTCAGTCCAGTCTCTCGAGGAGCTTACAATCTAAGATCCCTACATCAAATGCATACATACACATACTGGGGCCAATTTAGCCAGGATCCAATTGACTTAACATCTTGTCCAGAGTACCTTTTCGCCTACACCACTCACTCCTGTGATAAGGGGGAAAGGAGCTAATTGCTGACCTGTCCTGGCAATAAGGCAGAATATAGATTGCGTATTTTTCAGCTAGGCTTATGGGGAGCCCAAATGGTCTACAGAGATGACACATTAAACAATATTTTACCAAACTGCACAGTGTGTATCACCCTACTGGATCCTTGTCTGCAGGGGCTATTTTTCCTTAAAAAAAAAAAAAAAAAAAAAGTGAGCTAGCATGTGTTATTTTAAGAATAAAGGCAAGTGAGAACTGAAAACATCCGTTTTGGCAAATAACGGTCACTATGGTAATCATCATTATACTATATCTTCCAGTAAATGAGCTGCTCACAGTCTCACTAACAGTGCGAGCTGCTATAATTGTTCTCCAGCTGTGACATGCGGCAAACATGTGACAGTTTGATTTATTAGGAAACCTACCGGTTTATTTAAACACATTGTGTTCTTTCAGGTCATCAAAAAGGCAAATGATGCTCTCAATGGAATTAGCAGTTCAGCAGTCTGTACAGAAGTTATTCGATCAGCACATGGAATGGAATATTTATTAGGTATGGATTCATTAACTTAAAATATTCTTACCATTATCAGTGTGGCTATGATTTGTTTATTTTATGGGATTTTATGGCCTGTCCAATTTCCATACTTTCTCCAGATTAAATAACATATTCTGGAATTAAAGTAAAATTAAACCCTTTTAGACAACTTCAGTGGCTGATTTAATTAGTTATGGACTACCCAGCCTCTATATCTTTCAATCCTTATGTTGTTCCTATGTTCCTTATGTTCCTATTTAAGTTAGTGGCTCAATTCTCTTGCAGCATCCTTTGGAACCACCCTTGCGTGCAGGGACTAGAGTTGTCCCCCTACACTGTGTGCATCATTAGAAGTACACAGCCCCATAGCCCCTTCCCCCTTTTTCTTAATTATGAAATATAGTAGTAAAAAAAAAAAAGTGCATGACTTCAAGTTGTGACTCTCCTCCCTTCAATTCACTCTGTCCAGTTATTCAAGAGAGAACACCTCTGAAAGGAAACTTCTGTTGTGCTGTCTCTTTAGATAACGCATAAAGGAGAATTTATCAAAACTGGAGCAGCTGTGCATGGCAACCAATCTGCTTCCAGCTTTCATTTTCATACATATCTGCTCCAGATTCCGGCTGCTCCAGTTTTGATAAATTCCCCTCATAGTGCTCTATGAATCCATGTATACCCTATATTGAATGTTATTAAATGGTAGTATATTGAGAGGACATAGAACCCCAAATAAGTTACATAGTTAGTCTGGCTGAGAAAATACAAAAGTCAATCTATTTCAACCATAAAAAAAAAAAAAAAGTTATAATCCTATACCCACAGTTGATCGAGAGAGGCAAAAACCCCCCCCCCAGCAAAGCATGATCCAATTTTCTTCTGCATGGTGAAAAAGTTTCTTCCTGATCCCCTGAAAGGCAATCGGATATTCCCTGGATCAACTTTACCTATAAATGTTAAAAGGGACACAAGGGGGCGCAAGCCGAAGTGCAGTATTAAAAACACGTTTATTAAGATTCGACAAATAACTACTCACAAATGGAGTAAATATATAGGAATTAATCGAGTCCCAGAAGGATATATGCAGGAGCCGGTGTGTGTTCACTGGAGCTCAGGCACAGAGGATCTGATGTGAACGTGGACCATTGGCCAAGGACGCCGCAACCACCGTGGAATGCACGGAAGACCTGACCAGGGGCAATGTCTAATGGGCGCGTGAGGATAAGTCAAGTGACGCGTTTCAAAGCTTCCGCTTTTTCTTCAGACCTGATAGGATGGCACATTTGTCGCTAATAAACATGTCACATTCTTGATTGCTTCAGACATGGTTCATAGATATCCACGGTAAACTCCTCTCAAACTTTCCTTCTTGTCTCGTTTGTCTCTCAGCCGCGCTTGAATCTCCACAACGTAGCAGCTCCTATTGGTTGTCTCTCCACTAGGGGAGCTCAGCAGGGGAGATCCCTGCATCCACATTACTTGTGTGGATAGGGTAATCTGTGAGTGTTTTTTTTTTTTTTTTCATTCAAGAGGCTGGACAGTTTTTTGTTTTTGTTTTTTGTAATGCACCCCCTAACCCTGTAAAAAGCTCCTATGGCCACACTGCTTATATGGGTCACAGGTGTACACCGATGCACTTCTGTGACCCCGAATCATCCATCAGCGAACTAATGTTCTCTGTCAGCTGATGTCATAGAGCCGCTTCAGACTCTGGAGGGATTCATCCAGATTCCTGACCAGCAGTTGGCCCAGCCTCTTAGTGCCTTAGCCAGCCATTCCTGCCCCCTCTTCTGCCCGGCGTTCCAGCGATCACTGGAGGGGCAGAGCACAGAGCCAGGACTGACAGTCACCGCTCTCTGCTCAGAGTGGACCAAGAACAGAGCAATCAGCGGTCATGTGATCACTCAGTTCTCGAGCCTAGAACAAGCGGCAGAGAGCTGCAGCAGGTAGGTAAGTGTGTATGTTTGTATTGCTATACTCCCACACTTCTGCTTTAAAGGCAATTTTACCAATCTATCTCAAAGCATTTATTAGCTCCAGGGATGTGGATTATGCTTTTCCATTAACTGACTTGAGTGCCCTTGCTTACTGTCTATAGAAAAAAAAAAGCGTCTTGTCCACATCTAGTTAATATAGTGGTTTTTTTTTTTTTTTTTTCTTGTGCAGGTGTCATCGAGGTGTACAGAGTGACCAAGCGAGTAGAATTGGGTATAAAGTCCACTGCAGTGTGCAGTGAGAAACTGCAGCACTTACTGAAGGAGATTGACAAACTTTGGAATAACTTAATAGGATTCATGTCACTAGCCTCTCTAATGGTAATAGTTTCTTTTAAATATTACTCTACTCTAGTTAAATATTTTTAGGGAAAAAATGTAATGTGAAATTCCATGACCAAACTATGCGAAAGTTTAAAGCATAACTAAAGGCAAAACTTTTTTTAGTTTTGGATGGAGTGGAGAGGGATGGGAACACTTGTCAGGTTTTATTGCTGCCTGTGCCCCCATTAGTGAGATGCACCCCATCTATCTGTCCTGTTTATCATTATCATGAAAATAAAAGAAAATTCCAAATTTTGGGCTGTCCCCAGAAAAGTATTAGAGAGAAAATCTTCCAATAGGGGTCACTAGTTCTGGTGACCTGGGGGTCCCCAAGAAGAATTCCCTTAACTTGCATGGATTTCCTCCGCTTCCTGTTTTTGGCTATGGAACAAGAAGTGAACAAAATTCTCCGCAATGGGACACACATGTTGAAAAAAACATTTAACAGGGACTATAACCCTCCATTACTATATCCAAAATGGGAAAAAAAAGTTTTACCTATAGTTTTTCTTTAATGAATCTGAAGGATTAATATGAAAAGCTAGTAATATATTTTTTTCCCATTCTGAGTCATTGCAGTTTAAAATTATGACTAAATGCAAAACCTTTTTGTTTAGTTTTGGATAGAGGGGAGATTGGATAGAGGGGAGATTGATTAGAACACCTTTCAGTTTTTTATTGCTGTCCATGTCCCCCTTAGGGAGATTCACCCTCTTTATTTGTCCTGTTTACCATTATTGAAACTGAAAGTAAAAGAAAATCTCAAATTTTGGGTTGTCCCAAGAAATGTAATACAGGGGAACTCTTCCAATAAGGACACTAGTTCTGGTGACCTGGGGGTCCCCAAGAGATTCCCTTAATTTACAGGGATTTCCCTGTAAATGGCCTGCTTGGCTATTGGACAGGAAGTGAAGGTAAATCTCCCTAATGGGAAAAAGATGGTAAAAATAAACCTTACAGGGATAATAATCCACCCTTACTCCAAAATGGGGAAAAAAAGGTTTTCCTGTAGTTCTACTTTATTCTGCAGTGGTATATTTATCTTACTGCAAAGTTAACACCTTTTTATTTCACTTCCACAACCTAAATGGAAAGCCTGACTTGCTTCCTAGATCAGGATGGTGAGCAGCTCACGATATAATGATAGCAACCTGTCCACTGCTCTTCTCTACTGGCACTCTACTAACAAAATCCACACAGTTTTATATTGTGATATACTAAGGGGATGGGACATTATCACCTGTAGGCCGATATAGATACAACCCTCACAGTCCGCTTCTCCAGGGAAAATTGGTCAATGCATCCAAAAATCACAGAAAAGTTAAAATAAATACAAATTTAGCATTGAGGACATGGGTACTCCATATGAGTCTGAAATTTAGTACTGTACTGACGCACAACCACCCCTTCAGCCTTTTTATATAATTAAATTTTAATACTCAGCATTTTAAATGCCCTACTCAAACTAGTGCCCCATATTGCACAAAATCTTTGCTGTGCATGTTTTTTTTTTGCAGCCTGATGAAAGCGCACTGGATTTTGCCTCCTGTATGCTTCGACCAGGAATCAAAAATGCTCATGAACTGGCATGCGGTGTCTGCTTGCTAAATGTTGACTCTCGAAGTAAGGTAAGCTAAAATTGTCTGTGCTTATTACATGGATTAAGAAAATTATTTATCTTTTAAAAGGAATTACAAAGTCTTTAGCAAAAAGTAATTGAATGCATAGATACATTAACTGTTGTAGCCTGTGATACTGTGTGATTGACATAAATTTACTGCAGCTACACTAAATTGAAAACAAATACTGTCACCTTGTACAGTATCTTACAGAGTAAATATAGTCATTAAGGGCCAACTACCATAAAAAAAATTTTCTTCAACATATGCATATATTGATTAGTATGCTAACTCATTCTAAAAGTAAAACTCCAATCAGAACATTTTTACTTAATTATGAGTAGAACGGGGAGGAGTTAGAATATCTATTATAAAGTTTCTACTGCTGTCTTCTCCCTATTGGCAAGCCTTCCCTTTAAATCCTAATATAACAGGAACAACAGGGAGTAAGTTGTAATCTCCCCAAACAAAGTAGAGCTTTGTCCCTATTGGAATCCCAATATCCCACTTCACACATAACTCTATGAAAAATTCGACTAATGGGAAAGTTTTATTTTAAATTTGCTTTTAAATTTTATAATTTTGTGATTTGAAGATTTATTTTTGTTTTTATTTTTTTTTATGTTTATGCATCCTTTACAAATAAACAATGAACAAGGATTCCCAGAACACTGAGTTACCTAAGGCCCCTTTCACAGGAGCGATCTGATCAGGTCTGCCTGTCAGTTTTTATGGTGGACCTGATTGGAAGCTCTATACATTCCTATGAACAGGTGTATGTAAACGGACATGTGTCCATATACACATGTCTCTACCTTCGGGTCTGAACTGATCCACTAAAAAAAGGAAGGATAAATGCCCTGTTCTGTTTAGGCGTATTTGACTGGAGGATAGTTGGGTGTAAATGAACAGCAGAGTCCGTTTACTTCCAGCTGTCCATAGAGCAGAGTGGGCTGCAGAAACTGAGCGGACATGGATGTGTCATCCGCCCGCTCTGCTGTGATCAGCGGGGGATCTGTAAGTGGGCCCATGAAAAAGTGGCCTAAAGAGTGGGCATGTTGAAATCTGACTACTATAAGGCTTGAGCTATTTGATTGAAGCTTTAGATTGAATGGTACAGATTCAGTGAAATGAGTCAATGTTCTTCCTCATTTGCTTGCATGTGTACATTTTAACTTCAGTAGTTGGGCTCCTTTTTCATTTTTTTTTTTTTTTTTTTAACCTCGTTTACAGAGCTCAACGTTCCACCTACTGGCTGGATATAGGAATTAGAGTTTTCATATTGCATATTTCATAATAAATTTGCCAAAAAACTTTTCATTTAGCCATTACCATAATACTGTAAATTGTTGCTCGTGTCCTCATGGATTTCCATCATCTTCTTGGTGCTTTCTGGGACAGGAAGAACAGGAAAAGACTGAGGGAGAAATAAAAACCTGAAAGAGGTCCACTCCCCCCTCCACCCCATCTTCTATAAAAGAAAAAAAAAAGCTGTGGTTGACAAGTGGGTTTATGTATACCAGCGGTCACTAAATGGCGGTTCGCGAATGACCCCAGCAGTGCTGCTGCCCGGACCGCCAGCCCGCAATGACAGATCCGCTGGCGAGCATAGCGGCCGTCACGGCAACATGACATCACGTGTGCGCCCTACCCCTTTCAGCTCAGTCTCTCCAGCTCCCACTCCCTAGCTGTACACAAGCATCCAGCAAGGATGCCAGCACAGCTCCTGTTTGCCCTCAAGGTAGGGTGTAGTCTTACAGGGGCACTCTGATGGGCACATTGAATGTTAAGGGGCATGCTGATGGGCACAACATAGAATGTACCCATCAGCGTGGCCCTTAACATAACGTGCCCATCAGTGCCCCTTATATAAAAATCAGTGTGCCCATCAGTGTGCCCCTTAACATAAAATGTGCCCATCAGTGTGCCCCTTAACATAAAATGTGCCCATCAGTGTGCCCCTTAACATAAAATGTGCCCATCAGAGTGCCCCTTAACATAAAATGTGCCCAGCAGAGTGCCCCTTAACATAAATGTGCCCATGAGAGTGCCCCTTAATATAAATGTGCCCATGAGAGTGCCCCTTAATATAAATGTGCCCATGAGAGTGCCCCTTAACATAAATGTGCCCCATGCCCCTTAAGAGTGCCCCTTAACATAAAATGTGCCCATCAGAGTGCCCCTTAACATAAATGTGCCCACCAGAGTGCCCCTTAACATAAAATGTGCCCAGTAGAGTGCCCAGTGTGCCCCTTAACATAAAATGTGCCCATCATTAACATGTGCCATCAGTGCCCCTTAACATAAAATGTGCCCCTCATAAAGTGTGCCCCTCAATATAAATGTGCCATCAGTGTGCCCTCAATATAAATGTGCCATCAGTGTGTCCCTTAACATAAATGTGAACATCAGTGTGCCCCTCATATATAAATGTGCCATGCCCATCAGTGTGCCCCTACAATATAAATGTGCCCCATCAGTGTGCCCCTCAATATAAATCAGTGCCCCCAATCAGTGTGCCCCTCAATATAAATGTGCCATCAGTGTGCCCCTATAAATGTGCCCCTCCATCAGTGTTCCCCTTTAATATAAATGTGCCCATCAGTGTGCCCCCCTTTACATAAATGTGCCCATCAGAGTTACCCTTTACATAAATGTGCCCATCAGTGTGCCCCTTTACATAAATGTGCCCATCACTGTGCCCCTTAACATAAAATGTGCCCATCAGAGTGCCCCTTAACATAAATGTGCCATCAGTGTGCCCCTCAATATAAATGTGCCATCAGTGTGCCCCTCAATATAAATGTGCCATCAGTGTGCCCCTCAATATAAATGTGCCATCAGTGTGCCCCTCAATATAAATGTGCCATCAGTGTGCCCCTCAATATAAATGTGCCATCAGTGTGCCCCTCAATATAAATGTGCCCATGAGAGTGCCCCCTTAATATAAATGTGCCCATGAGAGTGCCCCTTACATAAATGTGCCCATCAGAGTGCCCCTTACATAAATGTGCCCACCAGAGTGCCCCTTTAACATAAATGTGCCCAGTAGTGTGCCCCTTAACATAAAATGTGCCCATCACTGTGCCCCTTAACATGTGCCCATCAGAGTGCCCCTTTACATAAATGTGCCATCAGTGTGCCCCTCAAACAAAATGTGCCATCAGTGTGCCCCTCAATATAAATGTGCCATCAGTGTGCCCCTCAATATAAATGTGCCATCAGTGTGCCCCTCAATATAAATGTGCCATCAGTGTGCCCCTCAATATAAATGTGCCCATCAGAGTGCCCCTTAACATAAATGTGCCCATCAGTGTGCCCCTTAACATAAATGTGCCCATCAGTGTGCCCCTTAACATAAATGTGCCCATCAGTGTGCCCCGTAACATAAATGTGCCTATCAGCGTGTCCCTTATTTTATGTTAAGGAGCACTCTGATGGGCACATTTTATGTTAAGGGGCACACTGATGGGCACATTTTATGTTAAGGGGGCACATACTGTGGAAAGAGGCACTTATGGGCTGATGGAAAGGGGCACTCTGATGGGCACATGTGATGGAAAGGGGCACTCTGATGGGCACATGTGATGGAAAGGGGTACTCTGATGGGCACATGTGATGGAAAGGGGCACTCTGATGGGCACATGTGATGGAAAGGGGTACTTTGAGTGTAAGGGGGCACTCTGACAGGAATACCTGATGTAAGGTGGCAATGTGATGGGAATACATGATGTAAAGTTGCACTCTGATTGCGACACCTAATGTATGGGGGCACACTGATAGGCACACCCTATTCAGACCAGAAGAAACGTTTAGTGACCGGACCTCCTTGAATTTTAATTCTATACCCCTGGTGTATACGGTGGGTGGAAGATATTTTCCAGTTATGCTAGAGACGTACACTAGAGAAAGTTAACAGGTAAACTTCCTTTAGCCTGAATAGGTGGCCTACATAAATAACAGCCATCTTATCTCAATTTTCGCTGCTTGTGAACTTCTTCATGAATATTTCTGTTCAGGTTGTAGCCTGTAGCTTTTTTCCATAAAGTAACTTGATTGCTGGGGTTGCTAGTTTTTAACTGCTAACTCTGTTTTTCAGCAAATAGCCATATTTGTTGGTAATTACCTAAAAATGTGTGGGGATGGTGCAAAGTCTACTATGCATAGCTCTAAGCTGTACTGATTCAGTTGTTTTGAGACCGTGGTAATTTCCAAATGAGTGATACAGATATTTCATAGTTCTGTTTATTTTACCAATAGAGTCATTCCTGAGTGCAGATTTCAGCTGTTAGGCATTTACACAGCTGATAGCATCTGTGTGTTTATTAACCAGCCTAGTTAATACTTTTTAAATGGAATTTCTAGTCTATTCAAATATTTTTATGCATATGTGAAATAGAAGTTCGCTTATCAATTTGCTGGCTTTAAAAACCCTATTTCTTTGTATAATTTGTAAAATATATGTACATGGGGGCAGCCATATTTTCTCCTTACACACTTCCTGCATTGCAGTGCTAAGCAATGGTTGTGCTCTTTGTCACAGGGCAAGCCCAGGAGTTTGCCAATTCATTGAAAACAATGCACTTTCTATGCAACGGATATCTTAGTTTAGTAAAGCAACCTGTAAAAAAAATAAAATCCGCAAACTGCTCTAATATGTCCTAGGTTAAGGTTTTACATTCCTTAAATGTCTTTCCTCACATTGCTCAGATCTATGTCATCTTCTCTGTAAAATTCCCTGGTATGGAGTAGCATGCAGTTACAAACAAACACACTCTTCAGGTCCCAGACTTGTCAAATAGAGGAGGGGAGCATGCCATTCAGTGTTTGTTGCCAACAAGTACTGGTGCCATTGTAAGGGTAGTCATAGGAATCTCATGGTGGGAGGGTGGTAATAAAGGTAAATTGGGATTTTTGTTTCTACTAAAGCAGCTCTTTCAATTCTGTTATGTACATTGTAGGCAAAAATATGCATTTCCCTAAAAGTTAGACCTGCAGAACTCCAGCAGTCTATTTATGAGCCACCCCTGGTCATTGCAGCCCTGCCGTTTGCTTCAAAGCTTAAAGTCAATAAAACAGACCTATTCTTTCCTTCTCATAAGCACTGGGCTACACCTGTAGAGCAGACACAGAAAAGAAAGTTCACAATGTAGAGAGACACATGCATGCTTGTTAAAAGAACTGGCGGTTTCCTTTTACAATACATAAACATATACTGTACACGTGTATCCTGGAAATAGCAAGGGGTGCATTCAGCACTGAGGCTCAGTGAGACCAAGTCAAATACAGAGCACCCTCTAGTGTTTAAACTACAGATCTCGCAATAGAATACTAGAATATTAAAAGGCAAGTATTATTATTATTATACAGAATTATATAGTGCCAACAGTTTGCACAGCGCTTATCAACACGAGGGCAGACAGTAAAGATACAATTCAATGCAGAAGGAATCAGAGGGCCCTGCTCCTTACAGCTTACAATCTAAAAGGGAGGGTCGAGTGATACAAAAGTTATTTAAAAATATGAAAGCTGCTTTAGGCTAGGTTCACATATTTGCGGGTGGTGCCGCTGCGGATCCGCACAAAAATTTGTGCAGCCGTACCACCCGCACAGAGGAATGCGGACCCGTGCGCGGGTGCCATTAATTCTAATGGCACGCCGCCCGCACTGAAAATCGCAATCGTAATGGGAACCTCCATTCCCTTGTGGGCTACGTTTTCCGAAGAAGTGCAGGGACTTCTTCCTTGCATGTCCCGGGCCACGGGAGTCAATTCAAATGAATATGCTTTTGTGTCCGCGGAAAACGTGGCCCGCATAGCCGCAGATATGTGAACCAAGGGTCAAGGAAAACAACAATTACTTAAAATATGTGCTCCTTGAACATGCTCCATATTTTCTCTTTAAATTCATGTCAAAGATATTCTTTCTATACAGGTATGCTGTTAACATTTTTGAGTTTTGTTTTCCCAGGCTTTTAACTCGGACACTGATCATTTTAAACTTTCCTATGGAGGTCACCAATATCATGCAAGCTGTGCAAACTTCTGGATTAACTGCGTGGAGCCCAAACCTCCTGGCCTTATACTGCCAGATCTGCTGTAATTTATTCTGACTTTTTTACACAAGGGAAGTACTACTGCAGGCTGCTGCCTTTAATCTGTCATCATCCAACTGAAAAACACTGCTTAATGAAAGCAGTTTTTCTGAGTCTTTCATGGAATGTTCTTGTTCTTTGCACTGCCATTTCTATGATGCACATTGATTCTTTTTATTGCAGACTTGATCTAATGTTATAAACCTTTTAATTTAATTTATATGAAATCATAAAACTGTATTTGATTGTTGCACATTAGTGATTCTAAGATTTCTGTTAGGTCAGTTACTGTGCTTGTGACTAGAGGGGTTAAATGAGACACATGTAATCATTACTTACATCCATGTCACTATGTTCACCATCCTACTCCAGTTTTCTCTGCTAATTATGTGGTTGAAGATTTCCTCTTTCAACTTAATAGGGGAATCATCCAGTGCAGTAGATAGATGGTAAGTAGAGTAGACTGTAGATGAAAGAGTTTGTTCTGGGCATCTTCATATTTTGGTTTTAGCAGTGGGGTGATGATTAGAGATTATACACTTTTTGGATTGTAGCATGCACTTCATTTTTCCTGGTGAAGGTGCTGAACACACAATTGTGTGTTTTATAAATGTGCTTGTGTTTATGCAAAAAGAGAATAAGGAAGTGTTTTGAAAAGCAGAAAATGGGGGAAGGTGCTTTTATTAAAATGCAGATACAAGCTTCAGATGTAGAAGATATGGTAAATAATTAGTGAATACAACACCACAGAGAACACACAACACCATAGAGAGATTGACATTTCATAGTTCTATTTCACTGCAATCAGTTCATCTCACAAAGGCTCATGTGTATGAACCCTTTGGGTCGTTATAAATGTCCTAATCCTGTCCATGATACAACCGCCCAGTACAATGTGCAAGCAGAAATAATTTTTTTAGGGGGTGATAATGAGGGCTGTTTTAAAATCTGTGCTACAAGGCTCATCCCTACCATTGGGAGGGAGAAAGAAAGTAATTTGCACATCACAAATTCTGTTTCATATGAGATTCGTATGGAAACAGCAGCAGATCCCACACTGCAGAGTATGGGCAGACACCAACCCATTCTTCTTGGGTGAAGAACCTAGGTGAATTGTGTGTACATCCCTTTTTATTTAAGATCATGGTAATGTTCATATGTGACCCATCTAACCCCCTGTAATTAAAATGCTTGGTAAGTGAGCTTTATTAATGTAGGGCATATGTGAAGAATGTAGATATGTAGTGTTTATGTAAAAATAGATTTTTATGTTCTGTTTGGGTTTTCTTATTTAGTTTTTAGCTATATTTTACAGCAGTGTTCAGTGACATTAATCAAGGTATTTTGTTGACTGTATTTATTGTATGTTTTAGAAAAAAAAAACATCCAGGTTAAAGTTCTTTGCAAACATGTATTTTGTTCCAATATTAAATCTGTCTGTAGTTGTTACGTTTGTTTCAGTGATCCCTTTGACAAAGGCACTGCTGGAAAATTCTTAAAGCAGACATATGTTTGCCCATAAAGAGGTTTGCTTTAATGCTGGCTTCCCCAGAAGAAAGTTCATTCGCTCCCTCACCGTTCTGCTCAGCTGTGAACAGCAAAGAGATGACCTGGTACCCCATATGACATCACAGGGACAATGATCAAGCACTCTCACATGGGAAGAGCCAGTGGGTTTGTGTAAACTTAGAGCTGGTTCACATCTGGGCTGTCCATTTTACTCGAAATTGCAGTGCATTTCCATTGAACTCTATAGAACGTGTGTATTCATGAACGTGCATCAAAACACCCAGGTGTCAACAGGGACCTTAAACTTGGAATTTCGAGATGGTTTCTTCTATAGCTCAACAGATAAGCAAAAGAATTAAGACAAGGCGAGTTTGTGTTTGTTGGAGAGAGAGGAGAGGATTACCCCTTATAAACATCCTGGTGATAAAACTGTGTGGCATTGATTTTTTTTTTTTTCAGCCGGAAAACCACTAATTAAGCATGATCTAAGGCTTGACATCTCATTACCTGATGCAACCCCATCCTTTATATTTTACAAAAAAATGGGTATTATACTGTGTTTGCACTAAAATTACTTTTGTTTTTTTTCCTGAAAATATGCATTTGATAAACAGTTGCCCGAATATCTAGTGACATAAAAAAAACTGCAACTGCCATCATTGTATTCTACAGGGCCTTTGCTTTTCGGAACATATATACAGTAATTGTTTGGGAGTCTATACTTTGTTCACATACACCCTGAACGGACCATTTGTTTATACATGTTTATCCCTAGCTGGCAGTTGCTGCATGTAGGCAACCCATTCATGCTATGAGGATGCCACAGCTGCAGGGACCAAGTTGCTCATCTCATGACTGGCATGCATGTGAGAATGGCCCTGGACACACACACAGTTTGTGTTTGGGGTGGCTCACCTGCAGGCTGTTGCCCTAGGATGAGCATCTCTGTCTGTGCAGCCGCTGCATTCTCAGAAACATGAATAAGCTGCCTTTATGCAACACCTGCTAGCTAGGGACGCATAAGCAAATGCCCAGTTCACATTATACAGTCCTCCGTACCCATGTGAACAAAGGGCTTAGAGTAATATATAGCCAGAATTGCATTTTTTTACATGTGTGAAAATGGGGGAAAAAAATGCCCCTACTCAAAAATGGTGAATGGGCAAAGCACAAGTTCACCTAAATGTCTACAAACAATGATCTGTGGTTAAAACTACTCCACAACATAAACCTATTAAAGTTTTAGAAAAAAAAAATAGTATGTTTACTTGCTTCATGCCCCAAACTGTCAGGACTGCAGAAATGTGAAGCTTTTTGCTGCTCATCAGCATTGCAGAGATGGGTTTGGTCTGAACCACAAAAAAAGTTGTAGCCATGGTAGTCTCTGATAATGGAAATCTCAAATACACTTTAGCAAAATTCATTTGGTTCCTGATTAGCTGGCTGAAATTCTCTCAGTGGGTGGCCATGACAGTCTTGCTCTGTTCAACAAAAGTTGATCAATTGAGCAAATTATATTTTAGGGAGCCTACTGCAAAATGTTTGGCTGAACAGCAGCTACGAGCAATCGGATGCAGCTGCTGTTTGGGTATTCTGCCAGCGATTCCAGCAGAGGAAAATTGTTTCTTGGGTTGCTGTGAAGCTAAACCAGTACTCCTCTTCCAGGGTACACACATGGCACCAGCCTGCTCCATAGAAACCGGCGTTAATGTTGTTTACTTGTTCAGTAAGGGGGATGGCTGTAGATGGTGACACTGGAAGGTATGAAGCTGAACCAGAATAATTGGTTGGTTTTTGCAATGTGGTAGTGATCAGTGATTAACAAGATTGGTTGAGAAGTACAAATTCCTTGGTAAAACTGTTCATAAATTTAATCCAACTTTGTATTTAGCTGTTAGCCTTGAGTTTGCTTTTTTTAAATTTTTTTAATTGTATAGATGTACAAAAGAGCAGTATTTTCAATGCACTACATACATATCAAGTCTAATAACATAGCACATTGGCACTAAACAAATAATGGTAGTAAAAGTTGAGAAACGGTCTGTTTTGCAGACTCACCTGCAAGATTAATTGGCCTTTTTCTATTACTGCATAGGGTATAAAGAGGAGTGTGTGGATTACTGTTAAGAGGGAAGAGGTAGAAAAGTGTTGGACGTGGGCTCCAAAAAAAAAAAAAAAAACACACGCATCTGGTTTCAAGACACAATAGCAAGGAAGAACAAAAAAAATTAACATGGAGAAGAAAGTAAGGCAAAAAAAGGTACAGTGAAAAACAGAAGGACAGGGTAGGGAAAAAAGTAGAATAGATGGGAGTGTAAGGTGTAGGGGTTTAGACCATAGCCAACACTGAGCTAGATGGTGTGGGGTGCAATCCCTGTTGGTGTTCAAGCATTAAGGTTCATTCTGTGGAAGATCTATCACTCAAGAAGGACTGATCAGATGTTAAGAAGGTAGTCTTGAGTTTATTTTTAAACTGGACTCCAGGCAGATGTCAAAAACACACCAGTGTGTGCAGATATGCATTGAGTAAGTCTAATTGGCTAAATGTCTAAATACCTAAATATGTTTCGATTTCAGTGTTTTGTACGCCCTTTAAAGCTGCTCTTAGGTTGAAAGAGGTAGGACTTGGGGCAAGTCGAGTCCTACATTGACATGCTGACAATGAACATACTGATGGTTGGAGAGAGATGACCTCATCGGTCTATTGGCGCTCATTTAGAGCTGATTCACACATGTGCAGTGTGGATTGAAGCTCAGGTTATGTGCTGTATGGATTGAAGCTCAGGTTTTTTGCGCAGTATGGATTGAAGCTCAGGTTATGTGTGGTGCAGATTGAAGCTCAGGTTTCACAGCTAATTGATACAGTAGCTGTTCTCAGGTTTACATCAGGTCAGCACAGGATTAGCTCAGGATCTTATCCTGTTCACACATATGCGGTTTAGAAACAGTTCCCATACAAGTCAAAAGTCTGTAATCCGCACCTGAACCGCACCACTCTGCTCAGAAATTGTACATAACTCTTTGAAACAGCACTGAATCCGCACCACCAGTTCACCAGACATATGTGAACAGTCACCATAGGAACCAATGTTATGTCACATGCAATTCGGATTGGATGCGGTTCAAACTGCATCCAATCTGCATATGTGAATGGGCACTCACTGTTTATTTGCAGGCTAGGGGAATGGAGGTGACCCAGCTGTGTTGTTTAACCACAAAAGGTTAGTTAGTACACCAGGCTGACTGTGCTCTCATGCTATATTTAAAGAAATAAAATCCTTTGATAAGTATGATGGCTCCAAAATATATTTATATATATTCAGATGGTGTCCTAGAGTTCAACTGTCAAGTGCATTTCCATCTTTGAAGTTAAAGAATATGTAACCCCAACATTTCATATTCCTGTATGTATTAAAGTCTTAACATGGCTGAGCTCACCCCTGGTTGCAGTGCAGGACTGATGGTTTTGTACTATAATGTATGTGATGAGGTCACAGCT